GCCATAATAATCTGCTTTAGTATTGTCCAGGCATTGCAATGCGCATTAGCATTGCGTTACTATTGCATGCAATTCTCTTTTGACTTACATATCGATTGAGAGGGTTATGGATATTAGCATTATGACGTAATCGCATAATAGACAGTATGAAATGATTTACTTGTAACTTAAATAGTTAACTAAACTAAACTAATTAAATAATTAAATATTTAACTAATTAAATATTTTGTAAAAAGAATGAACATGAGTATATCTGAATTCTTTAAAACCTGGAATGTTGAATACAGAATAAAAATATTTCTTTAATTCATAAATATTTAATTCATTCTTTAATTCTTTAATATTTCTTTAAAAATATAAAATGATTTTTTACATAGTAAATGTCGGTAGAACTTTTTCAATATGATGCGTAACAATCCAAATCAGAAAAAAAAATCTTAAATTAATTAAATGGATGTCTCTTTCCTATCATTTTCATAGGGCTCATAAGAAAATACGCATACATGCATACAGTTAACTAAAAAGATAATTTCATTTACTGCGGAATAAAATAATTTTTAAAAAGATTTCTATTACGTTTCACAAATCAATTAACCCCAAATTGTCAACTTTTTAAAACTTTAATTATATTTTTTTAAGTGTATCAAGTATAAGGACCGAACGAAGATGGAACGTATTATAAATGCTCTCTCCCTTCCAACTGTGTCAGAATGGCCCACATTTATCTTGAGGACTGATTATTTTCTTATATTTCTTTTTTAAGTTCATATTAAAGTAAGCAATAAGATAATAAAAAGGTAAACTAAACATTCATACATATTAAATTCGAATTCACTTGGACTATGTAAAACCAAGCAAATAAACTCCTGCATAGGATTACTAGGCAAGAGAGAAAAAAAAACAAAAAAAAAAAAAAAAAAATATATATATATATATATATATATATATATATATATATATAATTTATTGGCTAATAAATAGCAGTGATAATTGAGTCCTAAAACCTGGTTAATCTTATTGCATTGAAAACCAAATCTCTTTACGTGAATATTTTGAATTAAAAGTGTTGGGGTCAGGGGAATTTCAATATTAAAATACAGACCATTCCCCGCTGAGTTTCCTCAAAGGTGGGGAAAATTCGAGCAAAATTAAATGGTGGGAAAGAAAGAGAAAAATGAGACCTGTAAAACATTAAAGAAAAAAACACATGCACACACAATACTCATAAATAAAATTACTCAATTAATTAAAGATGTTAAGATAGGTAAATAAAAAAATTCTCTTCTAAATGTTTACAATATTTATTGAATAAAAAAAATCTTAATATGTACAAAAGTTAAAATAAACAATGGTGTAAAGTTACGAGAAAAAATAAAACATGAATACACTATCCAGAGAAAATAAAAACAAATTAAACATTAGGAATAAAATATAAATAAAATCAATTTCTAAAATTATAGATAAAATCAAAATAAAAAAATAACTTTCCAAAAAGAATAAAACTAATTTATAGTGGAAACAGAATTAAATAAATGTTTAAATGTCTTTGGTAAGGGTGAGAATAAAAAAAAAAAACGATCCAAGTTGGAGGCTATACTTCCAAAGAGGTTCAGCTGTCAAAGCAGTCGATGGTGGGGGAATCGATATACACATCGATCTCGATTGACGACTGGCGATGCGCCCAACAGCTGTTGTTTGAAAATCGCTAAGCTGATGCCAGGTGAGGAGAGGTGAGCCAGGAGCTGGTGAAATGAAGGGGGTAGACGTCCACTACATGGATCCAATACAAACGAAAGCTCGCTCCAGACTGGCCCTAGACCGCATCCCGACAATTTTATCGCAGTATTCTGGTTGTCTTAATCCTTAAGACTGGGTATTACTGCCGGGCTGGAGCGTATGCCAATGCTGTAATACATCGCGAATAAACCTAAATATAGAAACAATATACATTTCTCGGACACTATTTCTCAGTTTTTTACCAAAAAAGTAATAAATAAACATTTCATTACTAACATTTAAAAACGGGTGAATGGTGAGAAAAAAAATAAAGATCTGAGCGTATGCGGCGTAAACAAATAGGTTTAATAGAACACCTATAAAATAGCGAAATAAAATAAAATATATTAAAAATAATAAGGATGATATCCATTAAGACATTGGAATACTTAAGTTAAGAAAGAGACCACTGATCCGTTATATCAACGAATTAGGCAACCTGAAAGCTATCGATTATCAATTTTCAGATGCAGCTATGAAATATAAAGTATTAATTTTGAAAATTGAACTTCAAGATGATGGATTACGAAATCGCTATGTTTTCAATCATATCAAACTTCACAAAGAGGTACTTCCAACTATTATCCACGAGCTGACAAGTGACGGAATTCAATTCAATCCCACAAATTATTGCAAGAACTATTCCTTGTATATTTTAAGAGACGACTGACGTAGTATTAATTAATTTTTTTCTTTTTTTTGTGCGGAAATTCGTAATCATGGAGCGTTCCAACGAGTGTGCATAGCACCGTGCGTTACCGTGTAACCTGATAACGAAGTTAGATGGACAAATATTACGAGTTCAAATCCCAGTACCCGATGGATTTTAACTCGGTATAATTCTTTATTTCATGTCAGTTAAAAATGGGAGGTTGTAAACGATATAAACGATTTTATTAAAATGTTCTATTCATAATTTAAATAAAATTATATATAATTTTTATTAGAACATTTAAGGTCAAGTGTCATTAATTAATGAATTAAGGCTGCAGTAATCTTTACTTTAAATATTATTTATATATAAAGATAGATTGCATGGAAGGTGTGGTGAAAATATGTGAAAGAACAGCAGTACTATTGCATTAATTATGAAAAAAATCATAAACTATACCTGAAGATGGCAGATTTGACAGAGAAGTCGTATTAAATATAAGTAATGATGAAGATTACTGCAAACTAATGTAATTGAAATAATTATAATGTGAACTCCCATACCAGACTGAAACGACTAGAAACCGCCCGACGTTTTTGACTACTGCAGCACTTACTAAACAAACGCTCTAAACTTCCAATTATTTACAAAAAACTCATATATATATATATATATATATATATATATATATATATATATATATATATATAAGTCCTATTTGGACTTAGGGAATAGGAGCTTTGGGGTTCTACTAAACCATCAAATTCTTCTAGAGTCCAATCCCTACAATCCAAAATCCTTCGTTAAATCCTCAATGCTACTTTATCACAATTAAAATCATCCATAACGACCTTAATGTACCATATGTTTCCGATTTAGCTCAATCCAGATATCTATCCTTCCATAATAAACATCTGAACCACCCGAACCCTTTTGTTTCCAACCTGGCTTCCTCTTTTATTCCTGATAACCCTCCGAGGCGTCTGAAAAGGAGATGGCCTCGGGACCTTCTCATATAGAAATATAATTGGAGTGCTACCAATGGTTAGTTATCTTCATGTTGTATATTTCATGTTACTTGTTTCATATTTACTTGTTGTATTTATCATTTAATACAGTTGTAAATTTCAATAATAATAATTAAAAAAAAATATAATGTAAACTTTAGATCGTAATTGATGATGATTACTGAGGTATTAATTTATAATATTAATTAAAAATAATCTTAATAAAGTGTATGCTTATAAGCCTGTACAGTTTTTTTATTTTTATTTTTTCAGAAGTTTCCACTTTATGGATCATATTATATTCCAGGTGGCTCATTTGTAACGACTAGTGTAGCCCAAAATTGGTCTTGGTCTTGCACTTTGGAAGACCAAGACCAAGGCCACCTAAGTGTTGTGAGACCAAGACCAGGACTGGTAAAAAAAATCTATTTTTTAAATAAAAATTAAGACAAAATAGTTACTAATACTTGTCAATCTTAGTTACTATATGTTAATAATTAGTATAACCAATATACTTTTACATTTAACTCTTTTAATTTTACATTCGGGCTTATTAGGTTTCATCTATTTAAAAAATGGCAGTAATATCTCTATAGTAATAAGTTAATAAGTAACTGCAGGAGTATTGCGTGACTCTTGCGCAAGACCAAGACCTTGACCAAGACTGAATTTGCAAGACCAAGACTCGTCTTGGTCTCGCATTTGGCCAGCTAGTAACGACAGTGAAGCAAATTATATTAAACTGAGAAATAATCATTCAAAAACATGTCAAAATAAGAAATTAAAGAAATATATCTATTTTTAAATATATGAAGAAAACTTTTGAATGACGAGGAATCTATATTCAAGGGAGAATGGTTTTCAATTATCCCAAATTATGTTCTATATTGGAGTCCCTGTCAACATCAAACATGAATCAAGTAAGTAAATTGCCGAAATATTTGAGATGTTTTCAGAAGGATGGAAGAATAAATATTATCAGACATATCAAACCTAAATGGATAAACCTTTGAAATAAAAGGCCATGGAATCGACTTCTTCAGGACAGACCGATGGATCAGCCCGGCTTGGAAGATATATATCGAGTTTCTATGGTTTTAGGTTTGTTTCCGTTCGACCGAAAATTCAGGCTTTCCATAAAATCGGTTCTCTATTGTGCTTTTTTAAATTTTGTTTCCGCCGTTGGTTTTATCGGCATGTTCTATTATGATATATACAGATCCGAAGCAACGGTCTCGGAACAGGTCTTCTACGTAATTCATTACAGTTTTATTTCTATTTTTGTGTTTACCAGATGTTTCAGTTTTTTTTGGTTAATCGAGAAACGGAGGAATGTTTTTGAATTGTTCGACAGTATTAACTGCATTCTTCATGAAAGTAACAGACGAAACGTGGTAAAATACCGTTTGACTTATTTTGTTTACGTTGTGTGCCTTCTCGAATTCGGTTTATCTTTTTACGAACAGTTGGACCAGAGGAGTATAATAGTAACGATATGGATCCATTTGATACAATTCCTTTGTATATCTTCAATGGTTTTTTTAAGCAGTGACCTTCGCGACCTCATGCTCTTGTTGGGTTACCTTATAAAGGAAGCCAGCGAACTAAATGAAGAATTGGCAATAAAGAAGTTGGAGCGATTGTCTTCTTTAGCCGAGTTGGCTGATGAGATTTACGGGCCTATTATACTTCTAAGTGCTACAAATTGCTTTGGTAGTGCCTTAATTAATCTCTATGTCTTGCTGGCAAACTTGTATATTGGGAACATTATTGTGATGATCATTGTGATTGGCTGGGTAGGAATCAGCGTAACAAACCTTCTGTCAATTGTCTATTCATCTGGTATCTTCAATAAGCAGGTATATTTGACATCAGATTCTTTAAAGGAAATGCGCAATTAATTGATTACATATTAATTACCTAATTAATTTAAAGGACCTAATAGTTTTTTTTCAGACTAGACAAAACTCAACATAATGTTTATGCAGACCAAAGAAAGCACATTTCGCTACAATAAACCAAACAAGAGGAACAATAATTAAGAGAAATTATGAAATATGAATTAAGAGAAAATTATTATGTAGGTAACTTTTAGTGTTGACCGAGAAGAGCCTTGGTCTTGCAAACACAGTCTTGGTCATAGTCTTGGTCTTGTGCAAGAGTCTCGCAGTCTTGCAGTTACTTACTAGCTTATTAATATAGAGATATTACTGTAATTTTTTAGATAGGAGAAACCTAACTAATGAAAAATTAGAGGAGTTAAATGCAAAAGTATATTGGTTATGTCAATTATTAACATATATATAACTAAGATTGTCAAGTATTAGTAACTATTTTGCCTTTTTTTAAAATTTAAAAAATGGATTTTTTTTAAAAGTCCTGGTCTTGATCTTGCAGCAGTTACGTGGCTTTGGTCTTGGTCTTGCACTTTGCAAGACCAAGACCGAAGTCGGGCAACTGCTGCAAGATCAAGACCGCAGCTGTTGGGCGCATCGCCAGTCGTCAATCGAGATCGATGTGTATATCGATTCCCCCACCATCGACTGCTTTGACAGCTGAACCTCTTTGGAAGTATAGCTTCCAACTTGGATCGTTTTTTTTTTTTTTTTATACTCACCGTTACCAAAGACATTTAAACATTTATTTAATTCTGTTTCCACTATAAATTAGTTTTATTCTTTTTAGAAAGTTATTTTTTTATTTTGATTTTATCTATAATTTTAGAAACTGATTTTATTTATATTTTATTCCTAATGTTTAATTTGTTTTTATTTTCTCTGAATATTGTATTCATGTTTTATTTTTTCTCGTAACTTTACACCATTGTTTATTTTAACTTTTGTACATATTAAGATTTTTTTTATTCAATAAATATTGTAAACATTTAGAAGAGAATTTTTTTATTTGCTTATCTTAACATCTTTAATTAATTGAGTAATTTTGCTACAACACTAGTAACTTTGCAGTAGCGAATTTTTTATACCGGTAATTACTCTGAATGAAAAAGAGAAAATAGCTACATAATTTTTAAATAAAACAAAGTAATTATAGATGTAATAATAAAGGCTTTAGAAATATTTTTTTATATACTTTTTTTTTATTTCAACTCCCCCCACCCTAAGCAATGCCTTTACTCTAGATACCGATTTATAACAAATATTATATTTGGCAGGTAAGTATAGCATCCGAACGAATTGAGCCAACCGACCTAGGCTTCAAAAATATTGAGGCGTTTGGCGTGACATAGACACTCAAATTGTCAAAAAAACGAGATTATACAGGTCAAATGGCCAAATATATTTGTAGGCCACGTTTATTCTCAATTTCGTGAACAAATTATCTTAAGGTCCAAGATATGGTTATTTAAGAGATTTACGTACCTAATTAAATAGACAAAGTTTTAACGACGTCCATATTGAAAACGTCCCTAATTCTGAGAATTTTTGTAAATAAAATATTTGTAGGTTACGATGAGATGAAGCTATTTACGAAGTTTCAAACAACCGGGTATTAATAATTTGATAAAAAGGGTCTGTACCACGGACTATTAGTTTTTGACACTTCTCAAAACCCTTACATACGATTTTTTATGGAAATGAAAAAGAAAATAATCTAGAGATCGGGAATCTTTGTCTATTTTATGAGGTCATTAAAATTCATCAATACCCGTTTGCCTTCCGCTTAAATCGGAAGATTATTTCATCACAAAATCAATAACAGTGACCTTCAAAAGTATTAGACTGTTTGACGTTAATCTCCACTCCAAACATGTCAAAATAACAATGATATATATATGACCAACGTCTAATATTTTTATGAGTTGTGGGTACATCATTACATTAGCTAATTTGATGAGAAAACTACATTATTCTGAGAATTTGTGTAGATAAAAAAGTTTTAGGTTACGGTAAGACGAAGCCACTCCCAAAGTTTAAGACGGATGTTAATAGTTTGATAAAAAGGTTACTTTGAAGTGAACTCAAATCAGATTTTCCCTATTTCTAGTTTGTGACTTTTCAAATTAATTTTTAAAAAATGGAGATTTCAAATCTTTATAAGTAATCTTAAGTTTACCTTGATGGTTTTAGATTCATAAATTCAATGAAGAATTACGTATGAAAATAATGTCAGATGAAACTCAAGAGTATTCCGAAAACGTAAGGTTTTATTTTTTTATGCGATATAAAACTGTACCTTGGAAAGAAAATGCCCAAGATCCAAAACTTTAAATTCATATGATCTTATTGAAAAAAAAAAAACATTATAGGGTTTATATTAATTTGCTAAAGAACTAATTAAAAAATTCAGAGCCATTTTATAAATTAATGAATTCGTTCCAAGGTAAAGAACTAATAATTATCTTCGTTGTTAACTTTTAATTAAACTAATAATAAAAATATAATTATATACTTTAAGAACTGTTAATTATCTTCGTTTGTTCTTAATTAATATATCGAAATCAATGTGCATGTAAATAAAGCATCTGATTTTATTTTTGGTTTTTATACAGGAAATTTTGAACTTCCACTTATTCGCGTACAAGGCAACGGAATTCACAGCATGCGGGTTTTTCAACATTGACTACACAGTAATTAGTTCTGTAAGTAAAATACCACTGTGTTTCACATGTATTAAAAACAAATTGTTTTTCAGCCTCTGTTAATAATTCCTTTTCAAATTGAATGAGAATGTTCAGAATGTAACTAATTTTCAAAATTTATTCCAGATGATATCGTTAGCTACCACATATTTGGTGATCGCTTTGCAATATGGTGGTATTGGAACAAGCTGAACAAAATTCATCAATTTCAAGAATCTGAGACAATTCTGAAAACGGAATTATGGGAATAGTTAGAAGAAAATCTTTTGAAGTCAATTAAAAATATTGTAAAATCAACTGTTGACTAAAAAAATGTTTAATTTTAATTTTATTTGTATCCTCCTCTACCCTAGACGGTCATTGACGGCAGAGATGGTCAAATGTTAATCTTAGTACTGAGTACCAAGTATTTTACTCAAATTATGATCTTTATGGAAAACAAAGAATTTAATTATTATTTTATTTGATGTCAAACGATTAACTGAAGTAGTGATTTAATTTCTAATAGTGATTCAATTTGAGCAAAATACTTGATACTCGGCCAATGAAACAGAATAAATAATATTTCTGCAATGAGCCCGTATCAGAATCTGGGTGGTGCCTGTAGCATTGGAACCTCAGTGTTTTATTTATATGACACTAAAAACAATATTTTATTGTAATCAATAAACACCATAGTAAAGTGTTTTTCTTATGTTCTTTTTTTATTCTTATGTTGTGTTATGTTTTATGTCCTTTTCTCATGTTATGTTTCTTGGTGTGGGAATGTATGATGGCTTCTGGTGCAAGAAATTTTCACTTTATAGTGGAAATCTTCACCTGGTATAGTGAACAAACATGTTTTCATAGACATTTTGAGAAGAAACAGGAAAGAAATTGTGCACAATTTGGACTTTGTTGTAAAAAAATAATTTTGTTTATATCAGAATAATGAACCGAAACACCCTGCCGTATTGATTAAGGAATGTCTACTATTTAAACGCTCCACTGTTTTAATAACATCACCACAGTCACCAGAAACATTTTTTTTTTTTTATCACTGATATTTACAACTGTATTATAAAAAAAAAAAAATACATCTAGTAAATGTGCACTCAGGAATATACAGCAGGAAAACCAGCCACTGGTAGAAATCAAATAATAAATTTACACAAAAAAATTAATAAGAAAATACACCTTCTTTTCAGACGCCTCGGAGGGTTATCAGGAATCGAGGAGGAAGCAGGGTTAGAAACGAGAGAGTTCTGATGGTTAAGAAGTTTATTATGGAAAGATAGGTTTCTGGAATGGGCCAATTCGGAAACATGGGGAACATTAAGGTATTAAGGTATAGATGATTTTATTAGCGACAAAGTAAGGAGCATTGAGGATTTTGGATTATAAAGATTGGATACGAGAGGAATTCGATGGTTTAGTAGAACATTGAGGATCTTACGAAGGATTTCGATTTGTCATCAGATCTTCATGTGATAGAACACCTGTGGGCAAAATCGGAGGTAAACATATAAAACACGAAATTTCTAACAAAGAATAGTTTTAAATATATCTCCTCCTAGAATGGAATAGGTTAAGTCCGGAATCACCAACAAATTGGCCGACTTCACTGCAAACATGAACATAGCACACCGAAAGGAGTGGTAGAAAATAATGGCTAACCTTATAAGGCATTTAACTAAATTAATAATATTTGAAAGTTAATAAGAAGTGAGTAGTACCATTTTGACTGTGAGGTAAAAAGATTAATTTTCTTTTTATTAATTTTTATTTATCTTTATTAATTGAGTTGATTTTTTTGATTGAGTTTTTATATATTTAAAATAGAATATAAATAAATCTGTTAAAGAGTTTATGGTTATATTTGATTGCTGTAACCATTTTAGTCTTTTTTCTATTTTTCTACGGGGTGTATCAATTTTACTGTGAGCCACTGTCATTAAATTTTTTCATAACTTTTTTTTAAAGCATGATACTCATTAAATTTTCAACAGTATAATAATATTTTGTTCGATGCGAATTAGACAGGTTGTATTATGAAGTGGCGTTGATTGGGCACTTCGGAATACCCGATGGAGCAGCTTTTCATCGCAAGGGAATTGTCTCATGGAAAAGGCTCAGGTGTGGGGTCCCTGCAATCGGTATACGATTGGAGGAGAGAGGAAGGGTTCAAAATTTCGAAATTTTAAAGGGGGGCACTTGAATAGGCGGCGCTGTAACGTGAAAAACCCCTCGTTAGCGCCTACATGAGATTCTGCCTAATTGGATCTGCAAATCAGTGACTATTGACGCCTTAGTTTGGGTCAAGGCTGGGGCTCATCCGATTGGCAATATGTCCGATCGATAAAGTTATTTTCCATGTTCTACCATAAGTGATTTATTTATTTCCAAGTTCTTCTGTGAGTCGCTTAGAAATATGACTTATACTAACTACTCTAATATATCTCGGATGTTTACGTTCGATCAATCCCAACGTTCACAAAATAATAAAATTATTACATAAATAAAATAAATTTTTTTGAAAAGAAATTCACTCCATTTTGAAGATATTGTTTGTCACAATTCCTTCTTTCCTGTAGGTACTTACCTATGGTACCTAAAGAGAAAAGTACCTACCAGAGAAAAGTCTCATTTACTAATCTGTCACAAACTGAAAACATTTACAAAACTATTTTAAGGACTTCAAAAAGAGATTAAAGTTTCAAGAGGATAACATTGGTGAGTAAAATATATTACTGACCTCTTTTTATTAAATTAGAAACAACCGTCTGGAACTTCGTAAATGGGTTGTTTTGTTATTAAATTTATTAGTCTGATGAGGTACTAATAACTCATTAACAACCATATGCTTTCTACTTGATTCTTGAGATTATTTGATCGAAAATTTGATTAAAGAAAAGGGCATAAACAAATATTTCAATAACAAATATTCACCTATATAACCTCGTTATTTTGAGATGTTGGGGAGGTCACGCCAAATGGCCCAATATTTTTGTCAACTTTTTCTCCCTTATTTGAGATCAAATTATCTTACGATTTAAGTGGAAAACAAATAGGATTTCATTCATCATGAATTTTAGGACCCCATTAAAAATACAGTTTACCTATCTCCAGATTAAGAAAGCCTCATTCTGAAAAATTTAGAAAATAATAATTGAATATTTAACAGCTTACCGTTGCGTTATTATAACCTCGTTATTTTGAGATGTTGGGGAGGTCACGCCAAATGGCCCAATATTTTTGTCAACTTTTTCTCCCTTATTTGAGATCAAATTATCTTACGATTTAAGTGGAAAGCAAGTAGGATTTCATTCATCATGAATTTTAGGACCCCATTAAAAATACAGTTTACCTATCTCCAGATTAAGAAAGCCTCATTCTGAAAAATTTAGAAAATAATAATTGAATATTTAACAGCTTACCGTTGCGTTATTAAGGAAGGAGATGGTCCAGGGTGGCGATCATAAATAGACTAAATAGTGACAAAACTATTTTTATTAAAAGCCAAAGTTTTGAACCAGACTTTGTAGGTCTTCTTCAAGGCTAGAACGGACAAGATACAAAAAGATGTAGAAAATTGTGGAAGTTACATCATATTTAGATAGAAAATTATAAATTAAAAATTTAAGAACAATGAGTTGTATAAACATAGTGAATAGATGGTAACAATTGTTGTAGTATATATATGTAGAGAGAAGCTAAATGAGATTGAAATATATAAAACACATTCACACCTATATACAATATTTACATTCGCCTAGGGGATTCTGAGTCATACTTTGTACCCTAAATGTGGAAGGCAAAGCAGGACTCCAGAAGATCCCTGTGCTTCTCTCCCAGCCGCGTCAGTGGTATAGCAAGCTAGTGGAGACTGATGGAGGGCACTAGAGCAACAGACACTCAGGGCTTGAGTGGAGAATCTGGCCATTGCCAGTACTCCAATATATACATATTTACAAAAGGTCACGGGGCCACTGCCGTTTTAACCTCCGGGGAGGATACTAGGGATGGCTGGAGCTAGATAGGGATTGTGCTACAGGATTTGGATGATGAGTGAGTTTCTGGTGAAATTTGGAAAATTTGTCTGGGATTAGGTCAATAACAAATATGAAGGTCATTATGGAGGGTTTTATTGGATACATAGAAGGGAGCATCGACTATTGTTCGGAGGACTTTAGACTGAAAGGATTGAATGCGCTTAATGTTAGAAGGTTTTGTTGACCCCACAGCTCTAGTCCGTAGGTCCAGATAGGTTTCAGGATTGTCTTGCAGATTAGTAATTTCTTGTCGACTGAATGTTGCGACTTTCTATTTATTAGTCTATATAGCTGCTCGAATCGTCTGTTTAGTTGTTGTCTTTTAAGTCTGGTTTGTGGGTTCCACGTTAATCTTTTATCTAGAAGAAAGTCAAAATACCGGACTATGTCTGATAGAGGAAGTGGTATGGATTTAAAGTAGACTGGTGGACAGGACTTGCGCCGAAGTGTAAAAGTGATTTGTTTGGATTTGGATTCATTTACTTGAATGCGCCACTTATTACGCCAATGTTCAATAAGAGAAAGGTTACTTTGTAGGTTTGAGGATGGTGTTTTAGGATCTGGATTGGAAGATAGGATGGCTGTGTCATCAGCGAATGTTGCCAGGAGGGTTTCGAGACGAGTAGAAATATCAGGATCTGTTTTGAAAAGAAAAAAGTATTATTATTCACGAAACTATACACATCCTTAAAAGATCCGGTTCCTCTCTCACACCGCTCTCATATCGTTTACCATATTCCATGTTCTACTCCCAATTGTTTTTCATCCTATATTGGTGAAACCAAAAATCTCCTAAAAGACCGCATAAGCCAACATAAATATTCTGTATCCTCTCGTAATTTTACCGCTTCCAAATTATCCGAACATTCTCTCTCCCTCAATCAGTCATTTGATTTCGACAAAACATCCATCCTTGCCACAGTTCTCAACCATGACAAACGACTCATTTCTGAAACCCTGTACATCCAGCTTCAACCAAAGACAGTGAATCTTAAATCTGACAAACAGAACTTTTCTTTAGCCTATTCCCAAATTCTGAATTTATTAAAACATCCATAGTTATATTCCTTTCCTTTTTGCTGACAACTCCCTTATATATATATATATATATATATATATATATATATATATATATATATATATATATATATATATATATATATGGTATGTATATGTATATATGTATGTATATATATATATATATATATATATATATATATATATATATATATATATATATATATATATATATATATATACGTTTATGTATATGTATGTATGTGTGTGTATGTATGTATATATACATATATGTATATATGATATATTTTTATTTCAATTTTTCTCCCTTATTACTCAATAGTAATTTTTCTTTTGAATTTTTCATTCACTTTCTATTAACTTTCGTTCAATTTTCCATAATTTTTCTAAATAATATATCTCTTGTACCTATTTAGGCTTCCAGCGCTTTTAGTTCAAACTTCGTCTGATAACCGTTAGAGATGACGCCACCTTCACATCTCTTCTCTCTCCCCCTCCCTTGTAACGACTTTTATTCTCCCCTTGACACTTAAGCAGAAAGGTAGTACTTCTTTTATTTCTTTCTTATTTCAGCTTTCTCAATTTCTTCCCTCCTTCCTTTCATTCCTTTTCTCTGTTTTTAACTCTTTATTATATTATACATTGTCTGTACATCTTGATAGACTTTACAATATCTCAATTTTCTATCTAACTACTCCATTCTCAATGTTTTAATTTTACTATTTATTTTATTTTCATTTCTTATATAACTTTATATTTCTTTTTTATGTTTTTACATTTTATTCTAAGATTCCCAAAGTAACACTTTTGTCACCCCTTTTTGATTATGCCTACTTCATCAGTCCACACTATGTAACAGTTTTTATTATTTATCTCTTAGTTCTTAGTCATTATTCTAACAATTTCATTTTACTTTATATCTATCTATTTTATTTTTCTAATAATTTTTTTTTATTTTATTTTCTCATTTTTATTATCTTTTTTACCATCATTACTTATGTTTCTCATACCTTGTTATCTGGTTATTTTCTTAGCCCTGATGAAGGCCTTAACTTCAGGTCGAAACGTCGGCATATGTAAAAAATAAATATTATAATTTATTTTTTGCCTTCCTTTTTGACTGAGCACCCCAACTATTCTTCTCTTCATTATCCAGGACAGTCAACCAATTACCAATTATATTATTATTCACGACTATTTTTTTCACCACTTTCAAAATATACTATACATACACCATTTTTAGAATAACTTTTAGTTTAATAAGTTTGTCATTCCTAGTGTTGCCCAAAATCGGTCCAAAAAAGACCAAGGCCGCCTAACTGTTGCAAGTCCAAGACCATGACTGTTAAAAAAAGATCGATTTTTTAAATAAAAATTAATGCAAAATAGTTACTAATACTCGAAATATTAGTTAATATAAGTTAATAATTGGTGTTACCATTATACTTTTACACTTAACTCCTTTAATTTTATATTCAGGCATAGTTAGGTTTCTGCTATTTAAAAAATTACAGTAATATCTCTATAGTGATAAGCTAATAAGTAACTGCAAGACTGTTGCGAGACACTTGCGCAAGACCAAGACCATGACCAAGACTGAATTTGCAAGACCAAGACTCCTCTCGGTCTCGCATTTGGGCAACACTAGTCATTCCTAATCTTTGCTCCCTCATCGGCTCGTTCATTGCCAATTATGCCAATGTGTGAGGGTACCCAAAACAATATTTTTTTTTTACTATTTTTATTTAGTTTCAAGTTCATTAGCTGAATTAAGATTATAGAAAAAAAAATTGAAAAACGAACCATTATTTTTCTAAAAGAAATTAATTACGTCATCGTTTAGTAGCGCGTGTTTCCTCCTCTTGCCTTTACTACTTCTTGAAGACGACTCGGCATACTTTCCACCAGTCGGAAAATGTCCCTTTGCTGGAGGATAGCCCATTCCTCCCGAAGAGCCACTTCAAGGTCCTGCAGTGCATCAGGAAGTGTTCTCTTATTCGTCTTCCGAGGTTATCCCATAAATGCTCAATGGGGTTCAAATCTGGAGAACGTGCTGGCCAGGCTAAAACCTCAATATTGTTCTGTTGAAGGAATGTCTGCACTATACGGACGGCAAGTGGGCGTGCATTATCGTGCATTAGAATAGAACGATCGCCAATTTCGTTGAGGATAGGCAACACATGAGGTTACAAAATCTAATATATATAGCGAATGGCCGTCAAAGACACTCCACGAACAACAACCCATTATAAGAATAAAGTTTCATATCGAACTCCGATGGCATTAGCTGCATATCTAATGAAACCACCATTATCAAGAAGTGCCACACCACGCACAACATCCTCAGCACCAAAAGGCATTTTTAAACTTAATCTTGAAAAAATTAAAAGCCGGAGACTAAGAAATGTGCTGCAAGAAACGGCACTGAACTAATGATACTGAATAAACATTTTGATTCCATAGAAAGTAAACATTGGAATCTATAATCATTTCATTGAATTAAGAATTAAGGGTTATTGTCCTCTATATTAACATTCCTAATTGAAAACAAACAATAAGATAACCTATTTATTCATTAAAACAATAGACCAATCCAAAGCAGAAATATTTTTAGATGAAAACATGAAAAAATCAAGTGGGTGGAATTTTTTGCCTGTCAGTGTAGTTGGTAGATGACAAAAAAAAAATTCGCTAATAATTAAATATATTTGTATATATAAATAGATATACATACATATATATTAAATAAATAAATAATATAATAAATAATAATAATAAATAAATAAATATATATTAAAAACAAAACTTAGCGTAGATTAGCCGTTCAAAAACTCCTCTTTCAACGGTTTAGCGACTGATTCATCCAATTCAAACTCCACATTCATTAGAAGTGGATTTTTTCTAGTTAACAGTTAATAATATAATATTAATAAGAACGTAAAACATAAATTCTGTACTTTTCAGCAGAAATCGAACCACTATCGTTAACTGCTATAATTAATGAAATAATATTATATCACAATTATTGTAAGCAATATGTTTTTTTTTATTGTCAGGATGCATTAAGTGACGTTTAATAACCTAAAAGCATTAAAAATTTGGAAGCTTTATCCCTATGTAAAACGCATAAAATTATGCGTTTGTTGTAACTACACTGACAGGCAAAAAATTCCACCCACTTGATTTTTTCATCTAAAAATATTTCTGCTTTGGATTAGTCTATTGTTGGCAGACATATTTTTAGATGAAAACATGAAAAAAGCAAGTGGGTGGAATTTTTTGCCTGTCAGAGTATATTTGATATATAAAAGGGCTTGTGTCACTTTATGCAAGAGCGTACGCAGATTTCTTATTAAGGGTACAAGACTCAACAATTTCAGGTTTATAAATGATTCGAAGAACTATATTATACTAAGTACTAAGTTACGGCCTCCATTATGGACTGACAGTTATGAAGAACGAAAAACATCCAAGGTGTGTATCACAATACCATTAGTTAATCACCTTTCAGTTGAAGTGGCGTGGGAAAATATTTGCACGTCTGAAACTGTAAGCGACTCAGGCCAAACGGCAGACTATCTTAATGATGGAATACAACGAGGCGCTCCAGGATATCTTCCACATGCCAAGGATATTGGGTACCTTTCCATTCGACAGTCAGTTCAGGCTCTCTAAGAATTTGATGGCCTATTGCTGTTCGGTCCGCTTCTTTTCAGCCTTTTGGGTGGTTATGGATTTCATACATGGTTCGGAACCATTTCCTGAAGGAGGACGCTCGGTAAGTTTTGCACTTAAATCAGTCTGGTTGATTTCAGTTTTTGGTGACTTCTACTTTACTCTGGTTTGGTGGTTTATGATGCGCCATAGGATATCGTTTCTTATGGAGTCGATCGGCGAAATACAGAGTAGGAAAAAAATAACATTGGAGAGGAAGCATATACGATTTGTTCACTATCTTCTAAGTTTTACATTAATCACTAAAATCTTCTGTTATTACACCTTCAAAAATGAGAAAGATTTCATGGACATTATCGTCGAGTTCAGTTTTTTTCTTAGTTCCTGTTCGACTGTGTGCTTTGTGGCCGAGTTTTGGGATATTCTCCATCTGCTGGGACACTTGTTCCGAGAGAGTACTCAAATTTATGACGAGAGTTCCGTCATTAGCTACGAAAGGTTTCTCACACTGAGTGAAATGGTCAACGAGATATATGGATCACAGATACTCTTCACTATAACCGAATACTTCTTGCAGATCATCGTCTTCTTTTACATGCTCCTTTTGCCGATGTTTCCTGGTTTTAACTGTTCAAATATTATGATTATCGTCCAGGTAGCCAATTGTGTTATGACTATACTTTCAATAATATTGGCTTGCAATTACTATGTTGATCAGGTTTGAACTATATTTAATACCTTTATATTGTTCCCGATATTGGAAGTGATGTCTATACTTAGCATTTTGATTTTGATGCTTTCAGGAACGAAATTTTAATGATGATCTGAAAAGAAGAATGATCGAAGAAAAATCCAGAGTTCTACTGAAAAATGTATGGGTTTCTCAGATTTATTATAAGACGCTTTATTATCCGATAATTAAATTTACTTTAATCTATGGAAATGCTTTAGGAGAAGCTAAACTTTCACTTCGTTGTTGGACAAGAGACGGCCTTCACAGCTTGTGGTTTCTTTAATGTTGATATGTCGTTAATATGTTCTGTGAGTGTTTAACATGCTTTTTTGATTTTAGATATATAATTTGTTATTTATAATTAGTATATATATATATATATATATATATATATATATATATATATATAATATATATATATATATATATATATATATATATATATATATATATATATATATATATATATATATATATATAATAATAAAACAAATATACACTATTGAGTGATTTAAGCCATTATACCTCTTGATCAAAGTGTAAATATTCCATGGAGTACCTGCGCTTGCGTACCCACAAACGAATTTTTTTAGACAAGCCAATATTTCATAAGCGGCTTTTGACAAAAGGTAGGTATTGTTTAAAAAATAAAGTAGTGTAAATTTTACTAAGAGCCGTCGACTACTTTTTACTATTAATGCATAATCGTGTTTTCTTTGATGCATCTATATTTCTGAAACCGCACGTTTGAAATGGCATAAATTTGGTGGGAAGTTAGGGATTGATAAACAGATAATTAATATGTATCAATTTCATCGAATTCTATCCACTACTTTCAAACAAATTGTTCCGCTTTCAGACCAGGAAATGTATTATTTGACACGCCTCTAGTTTGAAAACGGCTTGTTCGATTTGAACCAAACTTGGAAGATATTTAGTATAGGAATTGAACTTATAATAAATACATTTAAAAATTAAAATAAATATAAATAACTGTTAACGTTATAATGACTGTGAAAGGCACTGATCATATGGAATAAGGGTTATTCTTATTTGTGAATGTGTTTATTTCTATTAAAGTTTAACGAGCTCGTCGTGGTCTCTATTTTTTCCTTAAACATCAAAGTTGTTGTTTGAAATCCACTCATATTTTTATATTTCACCTTAAATTAGTTTTGTATTGACTGAAGAAAAATTTTGGTCCCGTTAATCTGAAAAAAAATTGGATTATTCCTATGGATATTTTGATCCATTAATTTTAAGAGTGAAAACATTACTACCTCTTAATTATATATCGCTACTGATACTGCAAAAGGTCGTATGTAAAAATTTAGGGAACGCCTCCCCTAACCTTCCCCGAAGTGTGTGGCTATGATTGGTATTATTAAACTTTTTTTAAAATTTAAATAACTCAATCTATATCTAATTACTTCAATAACCCAACTAAACTTATTTAAGATAATGTAAATTTATTTTATTTGTTACAGATGATTTCCGCTGCGACTACTTACCTTGTGATTGTACTGCAATACAGTTCTGACAACTATCCTGTTGTAACAAACTCAACAACAGTTTCACCCTAAAATATCTAAGAACACTCCTTACTATACTGCACAAGATTTTAAATCGTAAAATATATAGATTAGTCGTTTGTTCTTTATTAATATAGTAGCCAATAGTGTTAATATGAGCTTACATAGAGACTATGACCATTGTCCAAGTGACAGGCTGTAATATTATTCAATAAATAAACAAAAAACTCCTCCCCATTGACGCTGTTTTTGATGTTAGAAGTCGGTTTTATTCAACCTTGTTTTTGACACCTCATAATAATTTTAAAAACTTATTTTCTATGTTGAATACATAGCAATATTACTAATAAAATATAATTTGTCAGAATAATATAATTCTGAATAAGAAAAACATGAGAAAAGTTTCATAAAAACTCAGTACTTAAAGATGCGATTACATGCATTTTTAAAAATTTTATATTATATTTTATACTATTTTATATTATATTTATACTACTATTTTCCCATAGGTCAGATAAAAAATATGTACTTTACATTATTTTTATTAACTAGGGATGTTCCCGCTGTCTGCCTATTGGCGGACCAACCCCCATTTTACAAATTATACAACTATTTATTTAATTGTACTACTCCTTGTTTTTTTTATCTACTTGTTGCTCAATTTGTTATTAACAGAAAATAATGGAACGAAATAACAGTGTGTGGAGCTTCTGAGAATGAATTTCATATCATGGCCATTGGCCTTGGGAGGAGGTAAATGTACGGTAGAGGTAACATAAGCGACAAGCAGAATATTTGTTTAAAAAGCGTTTACATTGTGATAGTCTGCTTAAATTATATTGGGAGCCGGGTGGCCGAACGGGTTAACGCGTGTGAACATCAGCACGAATTGCCGGGCACACAGTTATTAAAACATAAACAAATTGGCATTTTGTTCGTCCCGGCAAAATTTTATGTTTTCTTCACATGGACTTTGACACAAGAGTTTGTAAAGAGGACTTAAGTACCTAAGGGGGAAAATATATGGAAACAAATTCAAATATTTTTTTATCACCCCATGGAAAATATTGGCTTGTCAAAGAAGTTCTTTCAATTTTTCTGTTTATTTTTATGTCAATATGATACATTTCTTATCTGATGAATTAACCTCTAAGGTGGATTGTTTATCTTATTTGTAATATGTTAACAACTCTGTTTAGTCTTGTTGAAACTAGCTCAGCATTGCATTTGCTATTGCACTGTGAATATAGAAATAAATATCATAAAGGCAAACGTGCTGCAGAAGCTCATAGAAAAATTTGCAATGTTTACGAGGATGATGTCTTAACCGAACGCACTTGTCAAAATCGGTTTGCCAAATTTCATTCAGGAAATTTTGACAACAATGATGCTAAACGGTCTTTGTCGCCCACTTGAAATTGAAACGAGCAATTTTAAGGCCGTTGTTGATCAAAATCCCACCCAAGTACCCTCAGTATAAATACAAGCGTAGATAACCATTTACACAATCTCGGCTATGTCTCCATGCTTAATTTTTGGATCCCTCACATGATTTTTTTCGAAAATCACAAAAAATCACTTCAATACGACTTTAGCTACCTACAAGAAATTTAAGGCCACATAAACTACAAGCAATGACGTCAACAGGACCTTCGTGAACAAGCTACAAATGGAAATAAAAAATAAAAACCTATAAGGAATTTTTGTTTATTTATTCCTTATATAAATCATACTGCTTTGAAAAGCAATAATTCAGCTTTCCAACGGATAAAGTAACATCGAATTTTTAAAATATCCGGAATTTACGAGTTATGAATGATCGGAAGGGTGTAGTGTTCCACCAAGACAACGATAGGCCCCACACCTCATTGGTCACTAGCGATAAATTATTGAACCTTGGATGGGACCTTTTGCCCTACCCTCCATTGCCCATTCACCAAAACTAGCTCCAAGTTACTATCATTCACTCTGGTATCTGCAGAACTCCATGAATGGAAAGCAATTCCAAAGTGAAGAGAAAATAAAAAAACACTTCGATCAGGTTTTTAACAATAAACTCCAGACATCCTATGAACAAGTCGTTATGGAGTTAGTGGAAAGATGGGAAAATGTCATATTAAATAATGGTCAATATTTTGTAGATTAAAATAAATTGTCTGTCAACAATACAATGAGTTTTATTTCACCCTAAAAACAGAAAGGACTTATTTGCCGATCCAATATAGTTCTAAGAAGAAAATATTATATTATTATTTATTTTTTTTTTTTTTGTGGAAACCTCTTCAAGTGACTAAAAAAACGTGCAAATTTACGATTTTGAAATTATAATATCTTTTAAGGGGAGTGTGTTATAGAATGTGACTTATGTCATTTTTTTGTACATTAAACAATAAAAAAAAACCATTTGATTTGGTTAGGTTCCAGTTGCTTCCGGCTGAGAGATTGACATTCAAGTTTTTGCATTTATTACTCAACTTAACTTTAAAATCTTCCGACTAAAAGCGCCAACTCATTTGGTTGATTTATTTAATTCATATACATTCCTTATTACGTTAACTTCTGTACACAGCTTTTAATAGAGTTTCGGCTTGTTAAATTCCAGTAGTATACTCTGAAGGCTAGATAAACCGGAAGAAGGTGAGGCTCATTATGAATTCAATTCAAAATTCATAAACTCCCTCAACTTCTTCCGGTTCATCTTATAAAAATCAGCAAAAAAACATTCAAGGAAAATAAATAAATCAGCAACAAGCAAGGATGTAATAGATAACTTACATTTACCTTATGACTCATATTTATCTTTCATTAAAAAAAAAAATAGAGATATAGCAAACAAAAGAAACAAAACATCAAATCCTGAACCATTAGAATTTTTAAATATCTTTATTTTTAAATTATTGAAATTTATTTTAGGTATATTTTTTGAGTTCTACCAATGGGTAGCTTCTCTTAATGTTGTACATGTCATATTACCGATGTCACATTTACTTGTATTTTACATGTAATACGGTTTTAAATTTCAATAAAATAAAGAAATAAATAAAAAATAAAAAAGATATACTTATGCTAGTGCTATAAAATATTCACTTTACTCTTAACCAGTCGATTCACGGAATATGCCGAGGGACTTATCGGAGACCAGTGCGGATTTAGACGGAATCGTTCGACTATTGATCAAATATTTTCTTGACGGCAAATATTAAAGAAAAAGATAGAGTACAACGGTATTGTTCACCATCTGTATATCGATTTCAAAAAGGCTTACGATTCTATTGACCGCCAGAAACTGTATAAATATTCTAATCGATAGTATAAATATTCTAATCGAGCAGGGGATTAAAAAAAACTAATAAATCTAGCCAGGATGTGCTTGACGAAAACACTCAATAAAGTTAAATTCGGCAATAATCTGTCCGAAAAAGTACGTTCGTGTTTAAAACAGGGGGATTCCCTTTCGCCTGTCCTGTTCAATTTGGCATTAGAACTCGCCATTAGGGAGGTAATAAGTACCGAAAAAGGGTTTGATCTGGGTGGGATAACATCCGTGCTGGGCTATGCTGATGATCTGGTACTGTTAAGCGAAGACGTGAAAACTATAAAACTAAATACGACAACGCTAATGAAAGCCGGTAAAGAACTAGGACTCAAAATTAACGCGGATAAAACAAAATATATGGTTAGCTGCAAAAATGGCAATACTACTGGTGATATCGATATAGACGGTAATATATTTGAACAGGTAGAGAAATTTAGGTATCTAGGTTCTACGATAACTAGAAAAAACGTAATCGAAGAAGAGATTAAGACTGAAGGCGGGAAATGCTTGTTATTTTTCTGCGACAAAACTACTTAGCTGCGCCTCTTGTCCCGGAACTTAACAATTAGAATCTATAAAACCATTATCTTAACTACAGTTCTTTATGGATGTGAAACTTGGCCGCTTACATTAAGGAATGAGCAGCGTCGTAAGGCTTTTGAAAATAAAGTATTGCGTAGAATATTCGGACCAAAGAAGGATGAGTTAACCGGAGAGTTCAGACGGTTACACAACGCCGAATTGCGTGAATTGTATCCGGGTAGCATAATTGAGGTAATTTCATCGCGGCGAATCAAATGAGCTTGTAAAATTGTTGGGCTTAGTAACGAGAGAATTCCTAAAAGATTAATATTTGGTGTACCGAATGGTAAACGTTCGAGGGGTATATCAAAGCAAAGGTGGGAAAATTGCTTTAAAGCCGATCTGAAGGGACTGGGTTTGGACGGCGACGAATAAACCTTGTAGATCTTTGGCCACCTGAACCAGCCTTCTCCACCTCTGCCTATCTTGGGCTACTGCTTTCCAGTTTGCGGCATGAAGCTCAGCCGTATATTTGTTTATCCTATCTATCCATCTGGTTTTTGGCTTCCCACCTAGTCTCTTGCCTACTACTCTGGTATCCATTGTCGCGTAGAGGCGTTCTGATGAATTAGTACAAGCTACATGCCCTGCCCATCTTGACTTCCTTGCCTTCATGTCATGAAATATTGACTGACCCGTTTCTTTTAACAGTTCTTTATTGTTCATTCTCCTCCATGTGTTAAGGTTCTTGTCCCATATAGGTCCTGTTATCCTACGTAGAACTTTTCTTTCGAATCTCTCAATAATCTATCAATAATCGAATCTCTCAATCGAATCTCTGGCTTCTAATATATATATATATATATATATATATATATATATATATATATGTAATATAATGGTATATGTAATATAATAGTATATATAACAACTAATGTAATACACAGAAATACTGAGACATGTTAATAAAAGCTGAAGAGAATGAAAAACTAAAAAATAAAATTTGAAGGATAAAGAATATAAACATGGTTTCCAAACAGACAGTCATGACGAACGAAAAATTTCTAAGAAGTGTATCAAAATACTTAATCACCCTTTAGTTGAAGTGGTGTGGGAAACTATTAGATCGCCTAAAACTGTAAGTGACTCTAAAACTAAAACTGCATACATCACCTTGTATGCACTCGAAAGGAGGACACTTTCTATTGCATACAAGGTGATGTCAAATAACCTTTTCGATAGACTCACCCTCCATGCTAAAAGAGAGACAAGGAACTACCAGACTGGATTCAGAAGGAGTAAGTCAACGACGGACCAGATCTTCTCCCTGAGAATGATTCTGGAAAAAGAAAAGGAATACAGGATGGTTACGCACCACATCTTTATGGATTTCAAGTCTGCGTACGATATTGTAACCCGACCTGAGCTCTACCAAGGGCTAGAAGAAATGAGCATACCAAGGAAGTTGATTCGTCTAGTGAGAATGACCATGTTATGGTCAAACAGCCTGGTTCATATCGGATCTGACCTCTCTGAACCTATCGCCACAAACATCGGTTTGAGACAGGGAGATGCCCTTGCATGCCTTCTCTATAATTTGGTGGTGGAGCTAGCAGTACGCAGATCAAGGATCCAAACACGAGCCACCATATTCAACAGTACGATCCAGTTGCTGGGGTATTCAGATGACTTTGACATAGCTGCCAGATCTGAGCTTGCCCTAAAAGAAGCATTCCTGGCTCTAGAACAACAAACAAAAATTTTTGGCTTGTTCATCAACGAAGCCAAGACAAAGTATTTGAGAATAGAACCATCAGTGGTAGGGACTGGTTTTTTCAAAGTTGGACCAAATAGATTTGAGAGAGTGCAAAGTTTCGTATACCTGGACTCAGAAATAAACACTAAAAATGACATATCCCATGATTCAATGACTCAAACGAAGAACTGCTGCAGCCAATCGAAGCTATTTTGGGCTAGCAAAATACTTCAAAAGCAGACACCTCTCCAACAAAACCAAGATCGGCCTATATAAGACCCTGGTTCGTCCGGTACTTACATATGGGTCAGAGACCTTGAGAAGTATTGAGAAGATATTGAGAAGAATTTTTGGTCCGGTTTGAGAGTGAAACACCTGGATAAGGAGGAAGAATCAGGAACTCCCAAGACTGTACATAGATCCTGATATCATCAAGTGGATCAAGATTGAGGACTTCGATGGGCGGGCCACATTGTAAGGATGAAGGAGGACGAGATCCCTAAGAGGACATTGGCTGAAGAGCTTCATGGAAAGCGAAGAGTGGGTAGGCCAAATGTGAGGTGGGCTGACTCCGTCACAGCGGACGTACGCAATCTCCTCGGCGTTAGGAACTGGAGAGCTGCAGCAACAGATAGAGCCAACTGGCGGATACTTTTGGAGGAGGCCTAGACCCGGTAACAGGTTTTTGCGCCAACTATTTATGTTTGTAAATAATTTAGAGAAATGTTTCGGGGATAGTTTGTTCTCCACTTTATCATTTAATATGCAAGTATTCTTGAATAAGTTCAAATAAGTTTAATTAATAAGTGACGGTCACTCAATATACCAAGTATATATAATTTAATTAGTTGGACTTACACAAAAATACTGAGACATGTTAATAAAAGCTGAAGAGATTGACAAAGTAAAAAAATAACAAGGATGTAAAACATTAGGATGGTTTACAAACAGACAGTTATGACAAACGAAAAACATCCAAGAAGTGTATCACAATACAATTAGTTAATCACCCTTCAGTTGAAGTGGCGTTGGAAAATATTTGCACACCAGAAACTGTAAGCGACTCAGGCTAAACGGCAGACTATCTTTAACATGGAATACGACGAGGTACTACAGGATATTTTCTACATCCCAAGGATATTGGGTACCTTTCCATTCGACAGCCAGTTCAGGATCTCTAAGAATTTGATGGCCTATTGCTGTTTGGTGCGAGTCCTTTCAGCCTTCGGGGTGGTTGTGAATTACTCATACGGATCCACGTCATTTCCTGAAGAAGAACGCACGTTAAGTTTTGCACTTAAGTCTATAACGGTGATTTCAGTTTTTGGTGACTTCTTTTTCACTCTGGTTTGGTGGTTTGTAAAACGCCAAAGAATATCGTTTCTCATGGAGTCAATTAATGATATACAGAGAAGGAAAAAAATAACTTTGGAGAGGCAGCGTATAAGATTCATTCACTATCTTCTGTTTTTTACGTCTATCACTAGCATCTCCTGTTATTACACCTACAATAAGAAGGAGAATTTCGTTGATATTCTCAAGGAGATCAGTTTATTTCTTAATGCTTGTACGACTGTGTGCTTCTTGGGCCAGTTTTGGGATATTCTTCATCTGCTGGGGCACTTGTTCCGAGAGAGTACTCAACTTTATGACGAGAGTTCCGTCCTCAGCTACGAAAGGTTTCTCACTCTGACCGAAATGGTGAACGAGATATATGGATCACTGGTACTCTTCACTATAACAGAATACTTCTTAGAGATCGTCTTTCTCCTTTACATACTACTATTGCCACTGTTTCCTGGTTTCAACTATTCAAATATTATGATTATTTTTCAAGTAATCAACTATATTATGCCTATACTTTCTATAATATTGGCTTGTAGCAACTATGTCGAACAGGTTCGAATTTTCTTTATTGTCTTCTTATTTCTCTCGATATCGGGGTTGATACATATACTTAGCATTGGGATTTTGATGCTTTCAGGAACGAAATTTTAATGATGACCTGAGAAGAAGAATGATCGAAGAAAAATCCAGGGTTCTTCTGAAAAACGTATGGGTCTTTCAGATTCATTAAGTGATGCTTTACTATCCGATGGATTGAATTCCTCTAATGTATGGAATTTTTTTAGGAGAAACTAAACTTTCACTTCGTTGTTGGACAAGAGACGGTCTTCACAGCTTGTGGTTTCTTTAATGTTGATATGTCGTTAATATGTTCAGTGAGTGTAACATGCTTTTTGATTTTACATGTATAATTCGTGATTTTTTATTAATATATATATATATATATATATATATATATATATTATATATATATATATATATATATATATATATATATATATATATAAAGTATAAAAGTAATAAACACTATTGAGTGATTTAAATAATTTTACCCTCATATAATTATTAAATAATAATTACAACCTTTAAATAATTTTATACCAAAGAGTAAAGATATTAATTGAACATTTCATTGAGAGAGCTATAGTAATAGAACTATATCTATTACTATAACATCTAGTTTGTTATAGTATACTATGATATAATGCTTTTTCTATTAATTTACTACTACAAAATGTAGCTGAATGATAATTTCTAAACTTTTAACAGTATTGTATATTCGAGAAGCTCCCTATACAATACATTCACATTTATATACATATGCTTATTTAATGTCTTTTTTTTAAACTTCTCTTCGAAAAATATGATAAGAATAACACGCGAAATGGATGCGTGCACCTGAGGGGTGAATGAATCATAAATCCCATGATATGTTGCTATATATTATTATCCTTGAATGTAATGTACAAATATAAATATTTGAGTTTGTATTAGGCCTTAGTTAACCAGCTAGTTGACTTTTGTTATTTTCTTAATCTATTTTAGTTTACATATTTTATTCATTGTTGCGGTTTGTTAATTATTAATTTCGATTTTGGTTTTACTTCAAATTATTGGGTTGGTCCAAATTGTGGGAAATGTCATAATAATTAATTATAAATTAAAATAATTAAGTGCAGACCCCTACTTGTCTACTTAGACCACTACGGCGCGTGTTCGAATCTCGCATGAAACGTCCCCATCACGGGATTCATTTTGAGATGAGCCCTGTATCTTAACCCATATCTCCTGGACCCCCAGATTGAAGGTTGGGAATAGGGCTGATAATTCCCTATCCCATAAAAACTGGGTGGAAGATTGAAGTAAGAAATTGCCAACCATCCTGCAGGAAAGTTCCTGATGAATAGAGAGTGAAATGTGATCGCGTCTGGTTAGCCAAACACGTGCTCCCTGGATATCTCGACGAAGATAGAACTAAACGATCACTGCTGTCGCCTTTAACATCCCCAAGCTACTGAAGAAGACTCATGACTTAAAAAGTCGAAATCACCAGGCGAAAAAAAAAATGGAGGGCCAAACAATATTCTTGCCCACTCAATATTTTTGCTATGGGAGAATGCCCCATGAAATCTGTACCTAAGTTGGGAATTGCTGGATGATTTATGATGCTCACATTTCGGTATCATTAAACATTTGTTTTATTTTTTATTGAAACAAATCAACCTATATCTAATTACTTCATCAAGGGTAATCTTAATTTATTTTATTTGTTACAGATGATTTCCGCTGCGACTACTTATCTTGTGATCGTCCTCCAATACAGTTCTGACAACCACCGCACAACAAACTCAACAACAGTTTCACCCTAAAATATCAAATAGCACACCTTACTACACTGCACAAGATTTTAAATGTTAAATTATGTAGATTAGTAGTTTGAATTTATTTTTTTTTAATATAATGCCTATTTCATGGTATCTTTTGCAGCAATTGTTTAGTTATTTCTAGATTCTAATTCCAGTTCTGCGCATGCGTTAGCCCTAGTTAAACATACGTCAGGTCGTCTCTTAAAAAATTTCAATTATCAGTGGCAGTATACAAGCTTAATGTGAACAATTAGTGTTATCAGTTACATTAACAATTACGTTTGATACTGGACAAAAAAATAAGGTGAGTAATCACTTATTTACAACACAAGAGTGAACAGTGTAAATAGACCTTAGGTTAGTTAGATAACGGCCAGCCATAATACACATCGTTAATCTGACTAGTGGGCTGGAGCCCTTCGTCGGAAGCAGACCTGCGTTCTTCAAGCGCGCGTCTATATTTTCGTCTTCAATAAAAATTTATTTTTTTCATCGCCTCACTTTTATCAATTTTTCTTTTAAAAAATTAATATGAAATGCGATATTATCACATGCTAATGTCGAGTAAGGGCAAAAACACTAGGTCCAGGAGCCTCGATACTACAATTAGTTCTCCCATTAAAAAAAAGACAAGGCATTCAAAAAGAAACACTCCACCAGCCACACCAGGGAGCTCCATAGAAGAAGTTGAACCCCAACCTGGCTCCTCACAACAACCTAACAATTGTGAGACAACTCAAGCTATGGGCGAAGAATCGCCGTTTTTCACTTCGAATCCATTTGAAGTGCTTTCAAATATAAATAACGAACAAATGGAAGCAGCATCAACCCCCAGAGAACCTAAACCCCCACCAATATTTGTTAGAAATATTAAAAACTTTCAATTGATGTGTCATCAATTGAATAATCTAGTAGGTTCAGGAAAATATTTATGCCAAAGCCGCACCAATGACACTAAATTAATGCCCGACACTCCAGAAACTTACAGAAAAATGATAAAATATTTATCTGACACCAAGGCTGATTACCACACGTATCAACTGCGTCAAGAGAGGGCGCTCAGGGTCGTTATCAGAAGACTGCACCCATCTACACCAACAGATGCTATAAAAGAAGAGCTCATGGGTATGGGATTCCATGTTCGCCAGATAGTGAACATATTCAAGGAGGATAAAGAACAGCCTGGAATAAAAAATAAAATACCTCTTCCACTATTCTTCGTTGACCTTGACCGAACACCCGATGTCGAAAACATCTACAAGGTCACACGCCTTTATTATACAAGCGTTGTTGTAGAAAAGCCCTACAGCAAGCGCGACATCGTTCAATGCCATAACTGCCAGGCTTATGGCCATACGAAACGGTATTGTCATCACATTCCTAGATGTGTGAGGTGTGGTGAGCAACACAAAACAGAGGACTGTAGGAAGTCAAGAACTTCACCTGCAGTATGCGCTTTATGCCACCAAGGACACCCAGCCAACTACAAGGGTTGTCAAACATACAAAAATTTAAAAACACGAATGTACGCAACGCCTAGAGAAGAAGGGACATCCAGGCCACCAAGACAACCCTCTAGAATAGTGAACGGAAGAGTGTCCTATGCTCAGATGTTCAAAGGAGACACTGTAAACTCTCAATCTCAGGCCCTGCCACAAGAACCTAAACCTCAAGAATTCACACATCAACCTCAAGACCCATATCCCTCCATCCCCGAACGTAGGTTAAATACTCATACATTCATTCCTCCTCCTTCCAATTCCACTGACCTCACAAGCCTACTGACATCTTTCCTTTCCGAATTTAGATCTCTCATTACCCCTCTTATTTCGCTACTTACCAATGTTATATCCAACCTCATTCCACTGCCAAGAAATCCATAAATGTCATCAACCAAATTCCTCTCCATTCTCCTTTGGAATGCGAATGGTATTCGGAACCACATCAACGAACTGACAATCTTATTACATGACAAAAACATCGACATAGCACTAATAACTGAAACTCGACTAACCAACAAACGAAAAATCAACGTTCCCGGCTACAATATTTATCGAACCGACCATCCTGATGGAACAGCACATGGTGGCACTGCCATAATTATCCATAGATCCGTTTCCCATCATCTATTCCCTTTGCCAACCCATAATTTCCTACAATCCACTGCCGTGATAATCCAAACTTCCCTTTACCCAATAACAGTAGTCGCAGCATACTCCCCGCCTAAAATACCCATCTCAGAATCCCAATTAACTTCCTTCCTTAACTCCTTAGGACACCACTTCCTTCTAGGTGCAGATTTAAATGCTAAACACCAGCAATGGGGAGCCAGAACCACAAATTCCCGAGGACGAACATTGCTAGCTGTACTTAATTCCCATCACAGCAACATCCTCTCACCCAATTCTCCCACATACTGGCCAACAGATCCTAACCGCAATCCCGATCTCCTAGATTTTTTCATCCACAAAGGTCTAGGGTCCCTTAATTATTGCATCTCAAGACTTGATGATCTCTCCTCAGACCATAGTCCCCTAATCCTAACGGTTTCCACATCACCGATTCCCAAACCACCTCCACCTTCATTTATCAGGGGGCCAGTTAATTGGAACCTCTTCCGTCAATTGCTGGATGATAATATTGACCTCAGAGTTTCCTTAAAAACACCTACAGACCTAGATGAAGCAGTACATTCCATGACTACGTTGATCCAACAAGCAGTTTGGACTGCATCTTCACCTGATCCTTCTAAAAAATACCGCAAAACAAATCCTCTACCCCAAGACCTACTGGACCTTATTAATAGAAAACGATGCTCTAGGGCTATCTGGCAAAGAACCAGGCATCCTGATGATCGGAAATCATATAACTACTATTCCAAGCAAGTAAAACAAAAACTGACCACGTTTAGATCCCAATCCTATAATTCCCATCTTTCCTCACTATCTGCAAGTGATAACTCCATCTGGAATGTAACTAAAAAAATCCTTAAATTCCAATCCATTTCCCACCCCCTCCGCCGTGATGATGGTTCCTGGGCTTCGTCAGATGAGAATAGAGCAGAAGAGTTTGCTAAACATCTATCGTACACATTCACTCCTCATCCTGAACTCCATCCCTCCCATACTGCTGAAGTTAAAGAGTTCCTCTCTTCACCGATTCCTCTCTCCTTACCTCCTACAGCCGTCAACCCCTCTGAGGTCAAATTCCTTTTAAAGAACCTAAAACCTCGCAAATCTCCAGGACACGATCTCCTTACTTCCCAGATCCTCAGACAACTTCCCAAAAAAGCAATTATATTCCTTACATACCTATTCAACTGTATTCTTCGCACAACCCACTTTCCTCTGATGTGGAAACACTCCATAATTATCCTCTTTCCTAAACCAGGTAAACCTGTTAATTATACATCATCCTATAGACCGATAAGCCTACTTCCGATCCTTTCCAAAATCTTTGAGAAAATCCTTCTCAAACGCATCCTACCCATACTCGAATCCCACAATATCCCTCCCCATCAGTTTGGATTCCGCTCAAGACACTCCACTGTCCAACAAGGCCTTCGCGTTGTCGACCACATATCCTCTGCACTTGAAAACAAGCAATATTGCACTGGTGCCTTTCTGGACGTAGCTCAAGCTTTCGACCGGGTGTGGCACGATGGCTTGCTTTTCAAACTCAAAACCCATTTACCTCAACCCTTGTACCTAGTCCTCAAATCCTACCTTTCAAATCGCTCCTTTCAAGTCCGCTGCGGCACTGAACTCTCCAAACATTATCCAATTGAGGCTGGTGTTCCACAAGGCAGTGTCTTGGGCCCAGTTCTCTACATCCTTTTCACCGCTGACATCCCTTCAAGTCCTGATACCTTCCTAGCAACATTTGCTGATGATACTGCCATCCTATCCTCTCACTCGGATCCTCTAATAGCGTCTCAGAACCTGCAAAGACACCTTTCCTTCATTGAGCAGTGGTGCAACAACTGGCGCATCAAAATTAATGAATCAAAATGCAAGCATGTAACTTTCACTCTTCGACGCAGATCCTGTCCACCAATCCTTTTTAATTCAATTCCTCTTCCCTACTCAGACACAGTCCGATACCTTGGCTTCCTTTTGGACAAAAGACTGACTTGGAACCCACATACCAGACTTAAAAGACAAGAGCTTAACCGACGATTTGGTCAGCTATATAGACTACTAAACAGAACATCTCATCTCTCAACAGAAAACAAATTATTAATCTACAAGACCATACTGAAACCTATCTGGACCTACGGACTTGAACTGTGGGGGACAACTAAATCATCGAATATCAAACGCATCCAATCCTTCCAGTCTAAAGTCCTTCGAACAATAGTCAATGCTCCATATTATGTCACGAACAAGACCCTACACCATGACCTTAACATCCCATATGTCCATGACATCATCCCATCCAGATTCTCCAACTTTCACCAGAACCTCATTCATCATCCCAATCCTCTAGCGCAATCCCTATCCAGCTCCGAACATCCATACCATCCCCCTCGAAGGTTGAAACGGCAGTGGCCTCGAGATCTTTTGTAAATATGCCTTTGGAGTCCTGGCAATGGCCAGCTTCTCCACTCATGTCCTGAGCGTCTGTGGCTGTAGTGCCCTCTTTCAGTCTCCATTGGCTTCTAATACTAGTGATGCGGCTGGAAAAGTGGCGCTGGGATCTCCCGGAGTCTTGCTTCGCCTTCCACGTATGGAAGAAAAAGCCTGGCTCGGAGATTCTTGGGCGAATGTATATATTGTATATAGGTATGATTGTGTTTAGAAATTTTTATTTTATTTTATTTTTATTTAACTTCTTCACCAGTATTATTTATTTACTTATTATATTTATATTTATTTCTTTATTATTTGTATATATTGTATGAATGAGAACTTGTAGCCCTAATGCTTATAGCCCTCCAGCAGTGGCTGATTGTATTATTATTCAATAAAAAAAAAAAAAAAAAAAAAAAAAAAAAGATTCTA